CCTCCAGTCTTCTTCCATTTTTAAAAAAAATATTTTTATTATGGTATGTCGTGGTGAACTCTTCTTTGGTTTGCATTTGATTGGTGACCTCTGTGCCTTCTTTACTTGGATGTTGTCTTTTTTCCCCAGATTTGAAAAAATTTCACCCATTATTTCCCTCAATATAATTTGTAGGCCCTTTTCTCTCTCTTCTCCATCAGAAACTCCTATTTTGTGAAGGTTGTTTCACTTAACGGTGTTCCATAATTTTCTTATTAGTAGACCCTTTATTCTTTTTTCTTTTTGCTCCTCTAATTGGATAATTTTACACCTCCTATCTTTGTGCTCACTAATTCTTTCTTTTGCTTCATCAAGTTTGCTGTTGAAGTTTTCTATTGAATTTTTCAATTTAGTTAGTGTATTTTTTTTTATCTCTAGGGTTTCTATTTGTTTTCTGTTTTTTAGGGCCAAACTTCTAACTTTGTTCATGAATTGTTTTCCAAGTTTCATTTAATTTTCTACTTGTATTTTCTTGGAGTTTCCTGAACTTTTAAAAGAGGAGTATTCTGAATTATTTGTCAGTCATTTCATAGATCTCCATTTCTTCTGTGTCTATGTTTGTAGCTTTCTTAATTTCTTTTGGTGCTATCACATTTCCCAGATTTTTCATAATCCTTGTTTTCTTACACTGATCGCTATGTATTTGAGGAAATGACCACCCCGTCTGGCCATTTCAGGTGTTCTTTGGTGGTGATTGATCTGTACTATTTCATCTAGCCTGGGCTTCTGGATTGGCCAGCTGGTTCCAACCCCAAACTGGCAGACCTTGGTGACAGGTTCTATAGTTAGGCTGTGGTCACCTTTTGTGCTCTTAGACTGAACAGTATTAACAGCTGTGCTCCACGGACTAGTGAAAATACTAGCAAAAAGACTCCATGGACAGTCCTAGCTGGACTCTCCTATCAGGTGGAGTTGCTGGCTGGGCTCTGCAATAATATCTGACTGGGAAGAGTAACAAAATTATTTCTGGAATTCTAATTTTTATTATGTTCTTACTCTGGAAATGTCCTCCAAATTTCTTGTCCTTATCTCATGATTTCTTTCTGTGTTTTGTTTTGTTTTGCTGTTTTAGGTTTTCTTTTTCTTTTACGTAATCTCCCAAACTATCAATTTAGTTCTTAGCAAAGACCATTCTCTTTTTTATTTAGTCTGATGATTTTATTTATGAAAATCATGTTTCATAATTCCAGGAAGTCTTTTTATGTTTGTGTGTATAGTATAAATTTGTCATGAAAAGCCGTCATTGGTTCTTTGTAAAGGTTTGTTCCGGATTACTCTGTGCACTCTCCCATCCTGCACTCTTCTGCATTGCCACAATGGTGTGCATAAATGTCCTGGCTAATGACAATGCTGAAGAGAGAGACAAATGCTAGGTTCAACAATACTGAAAAGAGACGCAAATTCTAGGTTTTTCTTATTAGGCCATGTTGCAAAGTTATTGTCCGGTTTCTAACTGTGATGATGAAGCATGGTTACATTGACAAATTTAAAGTCATTGATGATCACAGAGCAGGGATAATTGTTGTGAACCTCACAGGAAGACTAAAAAAGTGTGGAGTGATCAGCCCCAGATTTGATATGCAACTCAAAGATCTTGAAAAATGGCAAAATAATTTGCTTCCATCCTTCTAGTTTAGGTTCATTGTACTGATAACCTAAGCTGGCGTCATGGACCACAAAGAATCAAGATGAAAACACAATGGAGGGAAGATCCTGGAAATCATTTTCTAGAGGTGTAATCCATATTTACAAATAAAATGCCTCATGGGGAAAAAAAGATTTATTCTCCCTCTCTCCAAAATTTTGCTTCAATGACATCCATCAGGTTTTAGCTGCTCTTCGCCTTTCTGGTAACCAAACCTGCTTAAGTCATTAGCACTTTCCCTTTGATCACTCACATCTGATCTCCTTCAGCTATTTGCTCAATCTGTTAGGTTCTTTCAGAGACAAACTAGCAAGTAATAGAGCACAAAAGTTGATTTGTTTGTTCATTTTTACAATGTCTTTTCTTATATTACATCTCTGCCATTGCAAAAGAAAAGGGCATCTTTTCTCTGTATTTGCACCAGATACAAACAATAGCCATTTTTCAACCATACAGGCCACACATGAATCAGCCCAGTGGTTTATTTCCAACATTGCTGGGTTGGGCGTGTCTCCTTTTAAGTCCATAGGTCATTGAAAAGTACAGCCCTCCTTAGAGAAATTCAAAGATATGATTGAGCTGCTTCATGGAATACTAGGCTTTGTGCCAAAGCTTGTGAAGACACAGGCTGCCTTGTCTCCTGCTGCTCCCTCAGCTATTGCCTAGCACTATGGAGAATAAATTCTTCTCCCTGAGCTCTCATGCTCTGGACAAATTTGCTCCTCCAACAGTATAGATGTACCTGAAGAAAGGACCAGCAGGGCAGCCAGTGGTCCTATTAAGAACTGTATTAAATCCACCAACAGTCACAGCCTCACCAGTGTAATTTACCTCAGAGATTATTTGGACTAATCTAATCTCACACCCTACAGCCCCGATTCTCCTGCCTGGAAGGCTTTTCCCGTCTTTCTTTTCTCACTTTCTTCAGGTCTCTGATTAAAAGAGGTCTTCCAGAGAGACTTGCCCTCTCCATTCTACATAAAATAGCAGAACCACATCCTTCTGTCCTCTTAACTGTCTTTATTTTTCTTTTTTTTGGCCATGCTAATCTTCTCTGTATTGTTCTAATTTTAGCATATGTGCTGCAGAAGCAAGCACTCTTTATTTTTCTTTGAAGCCAACACCTTATTTTTCTTGTTGTCTGTGTCTTTCATTGGAATTTAAAGAACAGGAGATTTTCTGTTTGTGACTGATGTATCTCCATCACCTAAAACAGTGCCAGAAATGTTATGGTTGCTCAAAATATAACTGTTGAGTGAAGAAATAAATGACATTCTTGCACAAATTGGGGACTCATATGTATCATCTTGATTTGGAAATCTGGCTGTTTTATTATTCCATATGTAGACAGAGTAAGGAACAAGAGAAAAGCCAGGATATGTGTTCAAGCTACTTTATGTCTCAATATTCCTAACATAGACCATGTGAATATTTTTAAAAATTCAATCTTTTTTTTATTTCCAAGGAAATAAAATAAGTTTGTGTTTGCTCCTAGCCAAAGATGGCATATTGAACACATGTATATATATATTTTAAAGATGGGGTTTCACCATGTTGTTTATGGTCAAGCTGGTCTTGAACTCCCGACCTCAGGTGATCTGCCTGCCTCGGCCTCCCAGAGTTCTAGGATTACAGGCATGAGCCACTGCGCCTGGCCACATGTATCTATTTTTACTTGCTCTTTAAATCATTCTAAAATGACAATAGAAGTTTTTGAGGATATAAATTCATAAAAGGAAGGAGAATAGATACAGAGATTATAGTTATAATATTTCATAAACTAGCAATCAAATGCTTAAGAAGAAATGAATCACCAATTCAAAAGGTCAGTTACCAAGTGAAAAAAAGAAAAAAATAATAAAAATAAAAAAATAAAAAGAAATGACTCAGCAAGACTGAGAAAAGCTAATCTTAAAATAGCAGAGGAAGAAGCCAATAGCTAAAGTGGTTTAAGTCATAGAATTGCCCAAATACTCAGAAACTGGCTACCACAGATACTTGTAAAAATGGAGATAATTCAGCTATATCTTGAAAAAAGAAACTGAAGATCTCTGAAGAAATAAACAGAGAACTTTAGACTTATTTAAACAGAGAACAAGAGTTGGGGTAGAAAAAGTATAAAAAAGGGTAGAAAAGTATCCACATAATCACAGCTGAGGCCACCCCTCTATATTCCTCTCTCTTTGGTAACTAGCCACAATCCCCCAGATCTTTACTCTTTGTGCAGCAGAGAGAGTCTTCTCTGAGAACTCGACTGGTCCAAAAAGAAAACTTAAGCATCCCAAACAGACCACCTTACAATTACATTCATGGTCCATATGCTATACTGTTCTACTGTTGGCTTGGGTAGGTTGGAAGTTACTTCTTTTTGGTTCTGAGTAAGAATTAGTCATGAGAAAAAAAAAATAACATGAAATTTGGGTATGAGACTAAGCAATGGTCATTACTCTCTTAATAATTCCACAGTTGGGAGGCCGGGTGTGGTGGCTCAAGCCTGTAATCCCAGCACTTTGGGAGGCCAAGGCGGGTGGATCACGAGGTCAAGAGATCGAGACCATCCTGGTCAACATGGTGAAACCCCGTCTCTACTAAAAATACAAAAAATTAGCTGGGCATGGTGGTGCGTGCCTATAATTCCAGCGACTCAGGAGGCTGAGGCAGGAGAATTGCCTGAACCCAGGAGGCGGAGGTTGCGGTGAGCCAAGATCGTGCCATTGCACACTCCAGCCTGAGTAACAAGAGCAAAACTCCGTCTCAAAAAAAAAAAAAAAAAAAAGAATTCCACAGTTGGCCAGGCGTGGTGGCTCACACCTGTAATCCCAGCACTTTGAGAGGCCAAGATGCGTGGATCACCTGAGGTCAGGAGTTCGAGACTAGCCTGGCCGACATGGTGACACTCCATCTCTATTTTTAAAAATAAACAAACTTTTTTTTTAAAAAAAATCCACAGTTAAATATAATCCTGGAAAAGTACAGAGATACCTACTAGATTCCAGCTTATCTTTCCATATCCTCAACTCTATGTCATGTTCTTCCCATCTATAGGCCCTGGTAACAAACAGCATTCCTAGGCTCATCACCAGATATCTGGTAGCAAACCTAGAATGATAGTACAGAGGAAACCTTCCCACAGCCCTCTCCTTGACTTCTTGTTTGTAGTCCTGCTCTGGTGACTGGGCATGCTAGGCTTCTTAGACGTCTCTAGAGACCCTGATTTTTCCACCCACTTCAGTTCCTAAAGAGGATTTGCTAGAGACATTTTTTTTGTTTTTGTTTTTGTTTTTAATTTATTTTATTTTATTTTATTTTTATTCGGTCTCTGTAGAGACTGTTAAAAATTGCCAGTGCTGACTATATTTCAAGTAGTCATGTGGGGTATTGGGAAAAGTTTTCAATGAGCAATAATCGCGCCTTGGATAAACTCATCGGCTATGATACTGCCACTAGTGACATTTTATCTGATCTGCTAGTCCTTCACTTCCCTAGCTCCTCCCACAAATATTTAGGTATAATCCCTGTGACAAATACCTTAATATTTCTAGAGGTTCTGCTTCCCTACTGGACACTGACTAATAGTATCCACAGGCCACATTCAGGTGCTTAGTTTTCAATCACCTTTTAAAATCCCCACATGTATTTTAATTGCCTTGACAACGCTACTATCATAAATTTCCTTTGAGAGAAAAGAAACAATATTACAGACACACAATAAAAGATTGGATTTTATTATAAGTAAATATTCAGACAACAGAGAAAGCTCTTAGGAATTAAAAATCTAACAGTAAAATGAAATATTCAGAAGAACTGGAATATATATGTATGCATGTGTGTCTGTTTGGTATGTGTCTATATATATGAAGGGCATAGATATTCTTCTTTCCTCAATGCACAGATAATATTTTAAAAATTATAAAAGCATTGCTTTTGTTGAGAGATCCATAATACTGATGATGTATAGCAGAGATTGAATGATACATCAATGAACACATGACATGAATGGTTATATCAAAGACTAGTTCCTCTCTTTTAAGCAGTATCTTAGCCAAAGTCTTCTGATTCCTGCAGAGTATAATGCATAAAACACACACACATACTACACCACACAAAATTTGTGCAAATGACAGGATTTAGGTTGCTATGATCATTGATACATAGATATAGATATACATAGAATATCCTCAAAAGTTAGATATTACAGAATAATAGTTCTTGCAATCCTGAGGATAGGAAACAATGTGACTGGGTGAAAGCAATGTGAGGAAGACCAACTTTTCTCCTCTTAGTTACCATTTTTTTGCTTCTAAGTTTGGTGCTGCATGTATATTACCTACATATAATTAATAAAATATTCCCCTCCCCCCACAAACAAGGAATAACTTTAGACTTCTCAATGGGCAATGGAAGATAAAAGACCCTGAAATAATGCCTTTAAAATTCTAAAGAAAAATTATAACAACCAAGAATTCCATATATAGTTATACAACTAGGCACTAGATAGAATAAAGATAATTAGATATTTTTAGGAAAAATGGCCTGAAAATATACTTCCTGGTACAATTTCTCAGAAAATTACTAGAAAATATGTTTCAACAATTGAATAGATAAACCTAGAAAAACAAATATATAGGATATGGGAAATGGAAAATATAAGCCATGAGAAAGACAAAGGGAATCCTCAGGTGAAGGGTGATCCTGGATAAACACTGTAAGCCAAGTCTAGCAGATACTCAAACTAGATTACTCTAAAATACAAAAAATGCCAGGCATAGTGGCTCACATCTGTAATCCCAGCACTTTGGGAGGCCGAGGCGGAAGGATCACAAGGTCAGGAGTTCGAGACCAGCCTGGCCAGCATGGTGAAACCCTGTCTCTACTAAATATACAAAAAATTAGCAGGGCACAATGACACGCCCCCATAGTCCCAGCTACTCGGGAGGCTGAGGCAGAAGAACTGCTTGAACCCAGCAGGTGGAGATTGCATTGAGCCAAGCTCATGCCACTGCCCTCTAGCATGGGTGACAGAGTGAGAGTCCATCTCAAAAAAAAAAAAAAATGTTGGCAGGGCGTGATGGTGTATGCCTGCAATTCCAGCTACCTGGGAGACTGAGGCAGGAGAATCACTTGAACTCAGGAGACAGAGGTTGCACTGAGCTGAGATTGTGCCATTACACTCCAGCCTGGGCAACAGAGCAAGATCCTATTTTGGAAAAAAAAAAAAAATCAAAAAAAGAAAAGAGAAGATTTTAACATTTTACTATATGGTTTAGCTCTTATTTTTATTTAAATGATCAAAGTAATATAAATAATATTTTATCTAACAAAGATTAGACTCACTTTTAATAATCCAAACCCCACAACATGATAGACCAGATCATAGGATTTCTCCTATAGAGCAAAACGATACTCCTATTTATAATAGGTAGGGTAAGTCTTGTAGCTCTATTGAGAAAAGGAGAATACAATGTACAGGAAATAAAAGAAAAGTTCTTCCTTTCTAGTGGGAGGGGTAGAGGGCAGAAGACAGAAGAAAGCAAAGGGAGAAAGGAAGTATGGGAAGTATAACACGTGGATCCTGATATACCTTCTCCAGTCTTCCCTCCAAAGAACACAGGTATATTGGGTAAACTCCAAATGCAGGAGATCTGGCCCTACTCTATCTTTGGGACTTTGGAAAGAGACTACCTCTCAAAACTGGAGATGGGAGCATGCCAGGTAAATTTGATAGCAACTCTGAATTCTATCTGACAGCTTGTCAGAAGTAGCTGCTGTAATAAGGATAAGAGTTCTTGGAGCTGGGGTTGGAAGGGCAGAACACTAACTGGAGTTAAGGAGTTCAGACCATACTAAGTGGTGCCAAGGTGGAACCAAATCAATGGAAAGAGAACACAATGTCCTCACTGAGCTGAGAATAAAGAGAACACAAGTCCATTGCCATCATTGTCAGCAATAAATACCATCAATGGACACAGCTTAGAAATGAAATAAACCAGCCAGTGCACTCCCCCACCCACAAGAATCAGCTTGGGCCAAAGAGATCTATTTCCCTTAATTCTCTTAGTAACCCCAACTAATAACTTCAACATACTGCAAAAGATGCTACTAGTGGTCCAGTGACCCCACTATTCTTCCAAAAGATGCTACTTGGGGAGGAACCCAGAGGGGAAGCAGAATCCCAAAAGAATATGAGTAATACAAGATAAACGAGGTTACCTAAAGAGAAAAAGTAAATGTTTGGATCCTTCTGCTTGATGATGACTTGTGCTGTAATTGGTTTATATATTTTTTCAAAGTTACAGATACAAAAACATATAAGTTACTTTACATAAGGCTGTCTATAAAAGCAAATCAAAGAGGAATTCACAGTCACTTGTAGACTCTGAACAGATGTCTTTGGCAAGAATAAAATGTAGAAAGGAGAAAATTCCAAACCATAATGCCACTTGGACAATTCTGAGAACACTGATGCAGCTTCCCCATTTTTAATTTTATAATTACAGTAAAACTGGTGAAAATACAAGTCCAGAATATATCAGCTGACAAGAGAATATTTTCAACAAGAATGACCACTCAGATTTTTGACGTTAGAATCTATTATGGTTAAAATAGAAAGGTAGCTATTCAAGATGTGAAAGGAGGCAGAGCAGGAGACATTCTACACCACCCATCTCTTGACCTCCTATCACAATTTGTGGTGCTCCTGGTATCAAAGACCTAATTATTTTAATCATTACCCTTTCTGTGTGTTTTAATATAGTTTCCTATTCAGTCTAAGCTCTCAAGAAAACTGTGGAGTCCTGTCATAATATCTTGTAATTTATAACTTTCCTTTAGTTATATTCTTTCCTGGTATTCTCACAATACTTCAAGTGAAAGATGATACAGATGAGAAACTGTGGTTCCAAGAATTAAAGCAATTTTTGTAAGGTCCCATTACTGAAACATGAAGAGCTGGGATTCCAAACCCAGTCTTGCAACTGTAAATCCCTTTCCACTCAATTCCTTCCTGAATATATCTGATTTACAGCAGGGCAATGACTCCCAAACTTCAACTACTCATAGGAAATTACTCATACTTTCTCTTTATCATCAAAAAGGAGTTTGTCAAGAATCAGTGTCAAAAATTCTTAATCGGGTGAACCGTATTGCTCTTCTAAATTTAACTCTATTTCGAATTATGCATAGAAAGAGATTCTTTGGCCTGCAGACCTGAGATTCTGAAATTTTCTGTGGTGCTGACAGACTTTTTGATCCATCACATTTAGTCACATCAATCATATCAACTCAAAGAACACACTGTAGGGAAAATAATGTAACCTGATTGATGTGAACAGATGTGACACAGGACAATTAAGTTTCAGTTTAAGGACCCAAGAAGAAAAACAACTGATGCTCTATAAGGTTCACTAAACAAAGACCCCATTGCTAACAGTATAAATAGGATTTATAGGCTTTGTTTTCCCAAGTGGAAGAGAGAAGAAATACAATACATGTTAATAGTATAATGTGTGTTTATCTACCGTGCATGGGCAGAAAATCCCCGCAATGGTCTGAAATTTAATACTTCCCATTGCATTCTAGAGCCAAGTCTAACCTAGCAATGCTAATCCACAGGGAAAATAATACTGTATTTTAGGAAATAAATTATATATGGATAAAAACATTTCAAAATAATTCAATATATTACTTTAAGAAAAGGAATTTTTTTTTTTTTTTTTTTTTTTTTGAGAAGGAGTTTTGCTCTTGTTACCCAGGCTGGAGTGCAATGGCACGATCTCGGCTTACCGCAACCTCCGCCTCCTGGGTTCAGGCAATTCTCCTGCCTCAACCTCCTGAGTAACTGGGATTACAGGCATGCACCACCATGCCCAGCTAATGTTTTGTATTTTTAGTAGAGACGGGGTTTCACCATGTTGACCAGGATGGTCTCGATCTCTTGACCTCGTGATCTACCCGCCTTGGCCTCCCAAAGTGCTGGGATTACAGGCTTGAGCCACCGCGCCCGGCCTTAAGAAAAGGAATTTTAATAGAGTTGAAATGTAAATAATACTTTATTGGGAATACTTTTAAAGCATTTTAGATGGCGAATATTTAAAGTCATTTACATTGTTACAAAAGATTATAACCATTCCTTTTAAAGTCTTTTTCTTGAGTTCTGCTTCATAATTTAAGCCTAAGTAAAACAAAGATCAAAATATACAGGGAGTTGAGTCCATTCTCTACCTCCCACTGCAAGACCGAGTTGCAGTGGTTCCCATACCTAGCACCATGGCCTCCTTGAATAAAGTCTGCCTTACCATCTTAAAACACACACACACACACACACACACACACACACACGTGTGTGTGTATTTTGTAATAGAAGAAACAGAAGACATTTGGTAGTTTCAAGTGTGTGTGTGTGTGTGTGTGTGTGTGTGTGTGTGTGTGTATACCTATATTAGGTATATATACTTATA